GTATTTCAATGAGAAAAAACTCAAAAAATGCTCAAAAAATTAAAAAATCGCTCCAAAATCCGAAGGGTTAGAATCGAGGAGCTGTATGAATCGGATGTGTGCATTCGAGAAGTACATGGATAAGATATAGACGCTATTTACGGTATATTGTCCATACATTCACGATTGTGTTGACGCTACTCGAGTTGATGTACCGCATAGCATACAGAGCAGATTCCATTCGTAATGTTTGTTTACTCATGTGGTCATAGTGACGAGACAACGCCTGTGATGTTATAAATACAGCAAAGACGTACTGACAAGAGGTTAGATTATTTAGAACGCTAGATTCTAATGGAATTCGTGTCGTGATCTCACCACGTCTGTTCATCTCGCCTGTAATTTCCATTAAAGTCGCGTTTTTATCCAGGAAAAGCCATATTCTAACAGATATCCTCTTGTAACATAAAATGAGTAGCGATTGGGTGGTTAACACTTAGAAGAGTGGCTGTTCAGAGAGAGTTAATATGCCTCTCACCAGGTGAATCAAAAAGCTTGTGAATATTGACAGGATTAAAAACTGTACCTGGCTTTTGAAGTAGGGCTAGCAGCACTGTTGAATATGGGAAATGGGGTGGAATCTTGACTTCGCCAACTGTTTTCATGATTTCGGTTTTTCTAATTTAATTATTCCACTATTCATTCACTTTAGATAACTTCGTCTCTAATGCAGTCTGAATTAAATCAGTGTTGTTTAAGGGAATGATAAGATATACAAACTCAAGGTTAAGGAGGTGATATTGCTAAAAAGACATTTTATTGCATGGAAAACGTGGTTACATTCACGACTGTGATGTAACCTCACTTGAGAAAATAGGATGGCTTAGAAGTAAGAGTCAAGATAATGAGCACGTTTCACTGTGTCCAAGCCTCTGTAATCACTTGATTCTGAAGTATAATTACCAGCTCACCGAATTTTCTTCGTGAGCACCACAATCTGAGAAAACTTCACGAGGTTTTGTTCAATGAGTTCAGAAGTCTTTGGAAGTAATCCTGCTCAAGTTGCGATTACCCCTTCACGACACTGCGTAGACTTTTGTGATCGTACGGCCCTTCAAATTGCCTTGTCAAATGAATCATTCTGAGTTCTCAATCCTTTCGCGTTTTGTGAATCAAACAGTAGAACGATAATCTCAGAAGTACAATAGTTTGTAGCTTTGATACTAGCAAATGGTTATCAAATAACCACTGATTTCAATGGGAAACCGGCCACTCTGTGACTGGTACGTCGTGAAAGGGCTGAGATGCTCAATAGTTACCTGTATTCATTGCAGAACCCTGCAGATTATAAGGAACATGTAGCAGAATGCATGAAGAAGTTACCACCATAATATTTTTGTACCATTGGTTTCGACTTCACGAATTACAAACTGATAAGAGCAAAATATGTTCAAATAAAGAGTAACGTTTTTATATGTTGTGCCAGTTTTCTTTTCTGATGATAGGAGTGTTCAGAGCATGCAGTCATTACAATTCGATCGCTTGAAAGCGGTAATTCTGAATCACATGGCGGGCAACATGCATAGTGTATTCCATGGCCTTCGTAGACGAAGCTCGTTGAGTTCAGGGCATTTTTCAGGCTGCACCAAACTGAAAAATATATTCATTATATTGAATCAAGAAAACAACAATGAGTTTGCAGGGACTGCCGCTAACGAGGTTAATTCTATCGCCTACCATGGCAAATATTAATGCTCTTGAGGATGCTATATTTTTTCCTTCATACAATTCCTCTCATTCGTCATCCACAAAAGTCTCTCAATTTGCCGTTACTTGAGGTTTGCTGGTCTTCATAAATGTCGTTGCGCGTTGTCTGACTGATTATCCTTGGGACCCTTGGATATCCGTACGACAGTGTTCCTAGATTTTCATTGAGGGCAATCAATTAACGGATAAAGGTGATCCCATTGGAATCTGGCGCGAATTGAGTGGTATCAAACTCTTTCATGCTGAAATATGGGTGGGAACAACATACGGTATGCAACTGAACGGCTAAGCGCGAGTGTACGGTGTTTGGACAGCAGACGAGACATTTTTCATCAGTAATATCAGAGATATTTCTGGAATATTAAAGGAAAGCAGTGCTTATAAAGTTATCACAATTTGAACCAAGAAATAGATATAATTGCATAGTAGGGATGCCGTGGCCGAGTGATTGTGATGTTGGTCACGGCGCGCACGGAACCGAGTTCCACTCCCCTTTCCCCTCCACCTCTTTCTGGCAGGCAACAACGCCCTATAGAACGCCACAGTAAGGCTATCCTCGAGTTGCAAGGAGAATCGTTCAACCAGTATTCTTCGCCGTTCAAGCGAATTGCATGCTAGCAAAACTGAGATCTGCACAGTGAAAAAAAATCGCTGTGATGACGGATCAAATAAAGTTCTAAAAATGCAAAAAAAAGCTCACTTAAAATCGAAAATGAACGAGAACAGGCATGAGAGACATCATGCACTGAATTCACTGCTAAAAATGCGTGGTGAAGAATTAGACATTTCGCGATCTAGCCATTATCGCTGCAGAAAGGTTTTTTCTGCGATTTTCATAATCATTCAATAGCCGATAGAGGAAGCTTTTTCTTATAATTTCAGCCATCAATCAACACCTGAATTTTCAATAAATAGATTACCCTTTTTGACTATGGAAAATGCTTTCGTAGTACGCTGTGGCAAAGAAATAAAATTATGTTTCACGCTCGATTTTTTTTATTCGCTCGGGTAAGGTCTGGGGAGAGCTTTTAACCAAATATTCTGTGGCCATTTGATAGCACAAATCTGAATGATTCTGGAAGAGATCTATATTTTGAAAAGGTATTCTTATGACGATGTAAAGCGGAACGAAACTACTATTCACTTATATATATATAATATATATATATATATGCACTTATATATATACGTGTACATTTATATGCAAAAGACATGAAGGCTCACCGGAAATCGTCATATATAAAAGTATAAGAAAAAATTTTTCAAATAAATATAAAATGTAATCATGGTTTCTTCAAACACGCAGAGTGCAGCGATTCCAACTGCTCCCCGAAAGGTGTGCTATTTTCGTCATCCAATTAGGAATTTTCTTTCGTTTCGGAAAAAAAAATCTAGATCTCACGTAACTGCAGTAATAAATTTGTTTTATCGTTGTACATGTATCAGCTTCTGGTTTTTGTTTTATATTACCAAATAAACGCTCTTGCAGGACTTTATAAGACGTCTTAAAATGCTAAATTCAATTTCAAAGTTAGCGAAATTTGATTATCAAATTATTGGTGAACTTTGGCTGAGCAAAAAATGCCACCGAAAGTAAATATCGAAAGTAGCGTAAAACGTAGAAAGTAAAACGTTTATCATTCGGCATTAGTATAACGCAATAAAAGTATTTTTTGGAAACCAAATTGAGTATTAGAACAACTGTTTCTTAAACAATCGACTAATCATTCAAAAGCTAACAAAAAACCTTTGTGTAATGGCAGAGCCAAGCAAACGCGAGTGCAGTCTCAGAAACACTACTGGTGCTTGAGTTGCTTCTTTTTCGGCTATCCAGTGACTATTAGATGTTTGGTAAAAATCTGTGCTCACGAAGAAACCATAGAAAAACTAGTATATCATTTTTGGCACACTTGATCAGCAAAGGGTTAAAGGTACTAAGGCCATTATGCATGGTAACTTGGCCTATATGTCTGTAGAAAACCTAGAAATGCAGTATGTCGTTATACTTTCCAAAGGCTCATTTTTTCTTTTCAGTATCACAATGGAATCGTACTGAAGCCTATGTATTTTGTTTCACACTCCCTTCGATATTGATTCTTTTCGCTGCAAAAAAACTTACTTTACAAGTATGAGATAAAAGCTGTACAGCAATGAGACGCTGATCGTGTTTCATATAGCTGGACAAAAATGAATATATCCGACATAAAAAACAATGATATAGCCATCGTTGGTCGTTTTGCTCATCGTACATCTTCAAATCGTAGATACTTGTATCGCCTGTGGTCTCACTAATCGTCTGGTGACTTGAACAGAGACCGCTTATGCTTCCATTTCTCCCGACTGCGTACAAGAATAATTTAGTGGGTTAGCCTCGCCGTACTCATTCTTTCAGCATCATAACCTTCTTGTGAACTGTTCCTGAAAAAATCAGACTATTTGGTCGATGGTCCTTGTGTTTTGGTCTGATATCGTGAAGAATCCACTCAGCAACGGCTCTCATTCATCGATTATCGCACTTACGAACGCTAGTGTTAAACAGAAACTCGTGGAAATTTTTTGGAAATTTCGTTTACATGCGCAAATTTACAAAAAAAAAGCAACAATAACTCTTTTTGAAGGCATAAACCATCATTGTCAGCTCATGCGTAAACTGGCGAGCTTCTTGTGGAAAAAGCTAAACTGGTCCAACTTCTTGACAACGGTCCGCTGTGAAATATCAAACTGTTCAGCCAAATCGCAAGTGCTCAATGAAGGTACAGCATTCAAAGCGACTTGCAAGTCAGTTCGAGGGATCGACTTTCTATTAACCTCGGCATCAAAGTTAATGATCAATCAAATTTGGAAATTTAGCTTCTTAGCTGGCACGAGGTTGGTAGAGGACGTTGTTATTGTCGTTATTGATCTTGGCTTGCAAGTCACTTTTATCCAAGACAGGTCCGGCCACAATGAGGCATGTCATCGCTATCAAAACTGCTTTCTTTTATTTGCTTAAATCATTTGTCCGCAGTCAATTTTGCTGCCGTATCAGCTCCTTTACCCTCATTAATCTATTGACGGCTTAGAGAATCGTTAAGCCTTTTCTACAACAACGGCGGATCGACACACACGAGTCACACTGCTGAATAGGCACTTCGGAGCTGAAATTAATGAACTATATGGATTCAATCGTCCAGAATTCTAGCATTTCTACTGCTTTTTCGTGGTGTTATGGTGTTACACTATACCTAAAAAAACTAAGTGGTGAGCAAATGTACGGCCTCAGACGAGAGTCAAGCTCGCGTTTCATCCGTACCGGAGACGAAGGCTACCACTACACCACCGAGGCACATTTGGGCCACCGCTCATTCTTCAATATCACTATGATAGCCATCAGCCACCAAGCTTTAACGGATTATGTCAGATATGCGATTTCGCTTTATAAACCCATTTGAAGTGACAGCCATTGTGATAAGTAATACTCTAAATTTCTAGAATTTTTACTACCTTTTCCGCACTGTTATGATGCTGCATTGCTCACCACTCAAATCTATTAAGTATAATATAACATCATAACTGCGAAAAAAGCAGTAAAAGTATTAGAATTTTGGAGTGTTACATCTAACAGTGGCTGTCAGCTCAACTGGATAGAGCGAAATCGCATACCCGACCAAATCTGTTCAAGGTTGGTGACTGATAGCTATCATAGAAATAATGAAGAATGAGTGGTGGCGCAAATGTACCTCTGTGGTTTAGAGGTAGCACATGTCCCAGGTATGAATGAAACGCGAGTTTGACTCCCGCCTGAGGCCGTATTTTTCCTTATCACTCAATCCTCTTAGGTGTAACGGAACTAAATAGATATACACAGAATCACCAATGGAAAGCGATTCAAAGATGTCAAAAAACGGAACTATCAAAAATATCCCAGGACTTTTTGCTTAACCCAATATTATGAATCCCGTCCAGCTCACGTTATCCTCAGTAGCCTAACGTTCTGCATGCCATGCTTTCACATATACTACACAAAGAATTTCGTGAATATTTCGGCGAGATCTGTCGATTCGACTACGAAGAAATATCGCGAGGGCGAACGGCTGCGATCCACCGACTGAAATAATCAGATCTGAAGAAGACGAAGACGTCACAACGTGAGCCGATTGATGTCGTTCATCATTTCGTTTGGCAGAAAATTCTAAAAAGCATAATGACTATCCACGCCGAAACTTTGTTGAGTTCTACGAGGCGCTCACGTGCCATCGTCTGCCACACTGCGCCTCGTGCGCGGCGGGAGTCTTGTATTTGTGCGTCCTACCATGAAAATTGGGGATTTATTGTGGAAACCTAGGATCTGGGAGGATAAAATGATTATTAAATTTAGAATACTTGAAAAGGGACTTCTGTGAAGGTTTTTCTTCACCTAAAAAGGTCCATCTATAACAAGATCCCAATGCAAGAAGGCGAAAAAAAAACGTTTTTAAACCTCGTTTGAGGTGAGTGGATGCGGATTTAGAGATTACAAAGACTCGCGGTGGTCTCCTACTGCATGGAGTCAGTGCTGCCTACCCTCCAAGACAAGTCTGAGACCAGTCTGGTCAGTATCGATCGACCCCAGAGGAATGGATGGCGTGGTGAGTCATGAGTGCTGGATCGGACCATCGACGTTGTGTTTGATACAGTGCACCTCTAACCACTGCGCCACATGCGTCCTCATGCGCATAACTGGATACCTAAAAAGTTCTTGCTGATAAGACAGTGGAGCAAGCTATACTCTTCTGTACTTCTAGGAAGGTTTTGACCTCAGAATTACACTAATGACGATCAAATCTTTTCTAGTCATCAAAAAACCTAACTTTTTATTAGACAACTACCACGTTGTCATTGTCACCCACTGCGCTGGCTAAGCGACCGCGCCGCTCGCCACGTGAAAAAGGAGCGTGGTATCCAACGGGCTAAGAAAAACTGGTTTAATAGGTTGTTTGTATGTTGTCGTTCTTTTTACTCCTTAGATATCGCTGAAAGACTTACAACTGTGCGCATTGGTTTCAATGCGTATTTTCTATCCAGTTGCAATTTTTGTGTTTTCTTGTGATTTTTCAGAAATTCTCTCCATCACATCGATTTCCCCTACTAATAGATATTAGAGCAAAAACCCCGTAGCAGAACTCGCAGAACTACCACCTGCTCCCAGCAGCGTACCCATTCTGACGAGTCTACTCATTGTGGGTCCTGCAAAGATCGCCCTGACTTCAATAGTCATTTGCAAGAATTCCGTGGTCTGCTAGACGCAGAGGTATTGCAAGGCTCTGATTCAGGGACATTTTCGTCCGTCCGTTTCCATCGATTCGGACGTCAACCTCATAGCGACGAGGTTATCAGCGTGTGTGGTCGCCTAATCGCCTGTTAAGCCGTCCGCTCGGCTTTGGATTTTTCGCGCATAATGTGCAGTGAGTCAGTCGAGTTGATGACTGTCTATGTGATTCTATCTTGTCACTCATTCCAATGCAATCAACTGAATATGAAGAGATTCGTCCAAAATCCCTCAAATATCGATTAGTCGGATAAATTTTTCTAAAAAATCAGGACCCATCCTTGAATCTGATTCTTAAGATTGATTGCAAAATGGGCGCCAGTAGTGCAACGAGTCAGAGCACGCGCTCCCGGATAGAGCGAGGTGCGGGTTCGAGTCCCGCCTTGCACAAAAGTATTGCAGATAACTTCGCATCACTGAATATACCTATTTCTCACCTATTTTTATTGTTTCACGAGCGCATATGGCGTAGTGATTAGAGGTGCTCTGCGTCGTACACAAGGTCGACGGTTCGATCTCACGCGAGCGGCTTACCAAGCCATCGATCCTTTCGGGATTGGTAGAGTGGTACCAGACTGGTGTCAGACTTGTCTGGGAGGATAAGCAGGACTGACTCGGTTCAGCGGGAGGCCACCGCGAGTCATTGTAAAGACCAGATAAGCATTCAATCACCTCAAACGAAGTTAAAAATTGAAGTCGAATGCATGGCGCATCCCTCAGGGATTGGTCAACGCCGAGAGCTTTATCCTTTATTTTAAGTACTGTGTCAATGAGTCAGTTGAGTTGATGACGGTCTATGATGTGATTCTATCTTGTCACTCATTCCAGTGCAGTCAGCTGAACATGAAGAGATTCATTCGAAGGCACTTGCCATGGTAAATAATCCAGTCTTCTTCCTTTTGCTACAAGTTCAATGCCTACTTGTTACTTGGCTGTACTGTTTCGTTGGCGATAATCAATTTAACTCTATTTATATTCAAAATAAAGCAAATAAATAAGATTTTCGAGCCCTATTTATCGATTGGGACGCCGTGAACAAGTGGCTGTGATACTCGTCACGGCTCTCGTGGAACCAAGCTCCACCCCCAGCTCTCTCCGGCAGTCAACAGCAACGCCCTATGGAGCGCCACAGCAAGGCTATCCTTAAGATTCCAAGGAGGCTCACTCAACCAGTATTCTACGTCATTCAAGAAGAAGACGAAGAAGCGTTTCGAATACTAGAAGTATTGGGATCCGCATAGTGAAAAAGAAAACCACTGTGAAAACGGATCAATAAAGTGTCTAAAAGAAAGTATATCGATTAGTCCTATCGATTTTCTGCAAATTTGATGCCTTCTTCTTATTTGTCCTTGTTTCTCCACGGGATTGAGTGCATTGATTACTTGATTATTGATTGGCTATTCAATTGTTTCACTTCAAATCACCTTACTGATCCATCTCAAGGGTTTTTCTTTACTGTCCTGATCCCAGGACTACTAGCATTCAAATCGTACCCCGCTTGCCCGGGGATTTTATCCCCTTCACGAACGCCGTAGAATACTGGTCGAGCACGTCTTGCAATTCGAGGATAGCCAGGTTGCGGCGTACCTCAGGGCGCTCGTCATTGATTACCAGAGGATGGTGGGAGGGCAAGAGAGGGTGATCAATCCCACGTCGAGCCATGCCAAGCTCCACTAGCCACTCGACCGTAGTCTTGAAATAACTAATTATCCAGACAATCCGCTTCCGAACCCCTAAATTTCTGCTCTCGAAGCAGAGCTCATAACGATGCCGACAATGCGATCGGTGAATCAGAAGCATCCGAGTGAACTCGACTTTTTTCTTCCATTACATTTTGCTGGTTTGCATGGACATAATCCGTCTCCCAGAAAAATCCCAGCGCTTGTTTTAGCTCCGATGATATTCCTGTGGGCTTTTTCGTCCTTTTTGTAGATCAAAAGGAATAGAAATCAGATTATACGAATAGAAAAATCGAAATCCGGTCGTTACATATGCCTTTTTGGCCGTGTTAGATCAAATTCCAGAGTGTTTAAAAGTCGATTCAAAGAGAGAAACCTTAACATTTTTTCTAATCTTTCTTTTTTCTCGTATTTTTTCCATATTTTCCTGATACATGTTGCTATACTAATGTCTTTTGACTAGTCGAATAACTATGAGTAATCATTGCTCAGAATTCTTTTTATTTGACAGCCAATTGTGGTAGTATGATGTTCTTCTATACCCAAAAATGTGGCGTGCTGTGCAAAAACATTTGCGTCAGCCGGATTCGAACCCAGATCTAATCATGTAGCAATTTCGTTGCTCAGTTTTGAGGCTCTTGTTTCTAGGGAAAAAAAATTCTTCTCGCTTTTTCACAGCAGGCTTTTGCCCTTGCTCGTCAAGCCCAACCCATCGCAAACCCTGCTTAGAGGTTGGCGATAACCCGGTCGTACAGCCGTCTTCAGTACCTGAAGTAATGGAAGCTATCCAGTCCTGGCTTATAACTTGTTAGTAAAAATGGCTACAGATGCGAATATAAAGTAGCTTTATTTCCAACAATGCTAAGTGATGCGGAAAACTTTGTGCATCGGACGGGATCCGAACCCGCATTTATCCTTTCCGGGGCGTGTGCTAACCAGCTGCGCTAGTCATGCCTATTTTGTCACAACTCTTTCCTTATAGGACTGTATCGACAGTCCATAGATGTTTATCGTCTTTGAGCCTTCTGTGTTTTTTTTTCTTTCTTTGTTGTTTCCCTTTTTTTCCTAAGCGTTTTTGTTCCCTTGGGGCTAAAATCACCTATCATTTCTCAAGATAGAAAGAGTGGTGGCAAAACAGGCATCGGTAGTGCAGTTGGTTGGCACGCACTCCGGAATGGGTGAAATGCGGGTTCGAGTCTCGTCCGATGCACAAGGTTTTGCATACCACTCTATATCATTGGATATATGATCTAATCCTATCATACCACCGCTGGAAGCGGTCAATTAAAATCCTAATTGTATATGAATAACTTTATTTCCTGGGAATTTTGCCCATTAAAAACGAACGAAGAGAAACTATCTTCTTCCCCGATCTTTCGCAATAGTTTCTTGCCTGTCATCCTCAGCCCATTCACAAACAATGTCACTTGGAGGTTGCCGCTTACTTACTCCTACGGCCAGCTGTCTTTTTATTCATCTATTTTATAATTTTTTTATTTAATATTTAAATATTTTACCGTATTTTTTGTGATCTCATCATTTTTCATATCATTTTTATTTTATTTTATTTTTTACATATCGTTTTTATCATTATTTTTTGTTTATCATTTTTGTATTATCATTATTATTTGATATCATTTTTGTAATTAACTTATATCTTTTTTGCACTTCGTATTTTTCATATTGTAAGGTCGAGTCCAGTCAATGTTTTTGCCAAGCTCCTGTTTTTTTTCTTTGGATTTTGTTTTTGTCGTTTTTTGTCTCCGTTTTATTTGTTGTTTTTCCTTTGTTTTTGTTTTTGTTTCTTTTTTTACTGACTTACTAATATCGCCTATAAATGAATGTTCTTTGTAATATTGCATGGCTTCTTCTAAAGCCGACTCTCTTTTACGACTTTAGTCGATAAGTAGTGTCGTTTTTTTATCGATAGGATTTATTTTGTCTTGCAAAGATTTTGCTTTCCTCAAGAATTTTCTTGAAATTATTGGATATAACGGGCAATTCTTTCGTGCTTCAGCAGTTGATTTATTACTTGAGTATTGATTGATTAAGAGGATCACTTGTAAGACTAACGATAAAGATTTTTCGTTATTTTTCCGAGCGGCGATTCATAAACCGTTATGTTTTTACTTTCACAAATAAAGCTACAGTATACTTTTGAAAAATTTTTTTTGAAATAAGTATTCTAAATAAGTATTTATAAAGTATTAGATAAGTACCAGGTATTTTTTGGCCTCGTATACTAAGGTTGTTTAATGCTTGCTCATGCTCATTTTTAGTATTCTTGCTACCTTCTTTCTTAACCCAGTATCAAAAGATGAAAGTGTTGAATAATCAAGCTGCTCTCCTCCCCAACTTCAAGGTTTTACAAGTTCTGGCTAAGGTCAGGAAAGAAGAAAGCAAGAAGACCAAAAGTGACATGAGCAAGCACTTAACAACCTCAGTATACGAGCCCAAATATCTCAATGGTACTCCAGCCGCAGTTCAGAACAATGAGGTTGTTGAAAAACTCATTGAAGAAGTAATTACCAAGTAGATAAGTATTAAGTATGTATGAATAAGTATTATGAGGTATTGTGTAAGCTAAGGACCAATCAGCAGTATTTCAGTATAAAAAACAAATATAAACAGTATAAAACAAAATAAAAATAAAATAAAAATATAAATAAATATAAATAATATAATAATAATAAATGGTAATTATAAATATATAAAACAAAATAAAAGAATAAAATAAACATAAAAGTAAGCAAATTAGTAAAAAAAAGATCCTTTGGAGATTGATTATTTCGTTTTTTTTTTTTGAGGAGAGATCCGCCGGCAGGTGGTGATATGTCATGGCGATGAGAAATCATATTTAAAAAAATACGAAAATAATAAGGAATGAAATTGTTCTAGTTTACTTATTGTCATAGAAATTTTAGACTCGACGATTTGTCTATGTGATTTGAAATTGTCAGCATTTCCAAGTGCTAAATCGGGGGCGAACTAGGCGGTAGCGTTTTGTTCTTTTTTGTATTCAAATCCCCCGCTAATCGTCCAGGATCCGTCGCCCTCCCGAGTTTCGTAACCTTTCTGTTTATTCGGAACTTGTTGTCTCGTGACTCTTCGCTGTGACATAGTCTGTCCTTAGTTCTATTTAATGCCTGGCAGAACCTACTAGGCATTGCTATCAATAATTTTTGCCTAATAGACCCTATGGTTACCGACTTTCATCCACATACAAATTGCTGAGTTGGCAAGGAATTTTGCGAGCTTTTTCGTGTTTTTCTTCGTTATTTTTCATGCATTTTGCGCTTTGGTTCTTACTGCCGTTTAGTGCAGCTTCTTGCGGTTATTTTGATATATAATACTTATACGTTTGATCTGAGATGGGGTTATCCCCAGAGCAAAAACGATTGCTGATGCTACACGGGTATCTCTGAGGGTCCTAGCAGCAACGAACGCAAACGATACTCGTGTGGTGTCAACAATCATTTTTTTTCCCTCGGGACTGTTCAATTTTTGACAAGTATATAAGTGTTATAAATCAAAATAACCGCAAGAGTCTTTTTTAAACGATAGTAGAAACAAAATCTAAATGCCTGAAAATACCTTCATTGCGAGTGCTTTGTTAAGACCACGCTCAAATTTCAATAGATCCTTTCATTATTATTTGAGTCAACTTGTCATGTGGTCTGGTAAGGGCGAAATAAAGGTATAATATGAAAAAAATACCAGCCAAAGAGCACTCGAGTGCGCAAACGCTCTGTGTTAGGTGAAAATTTCGCTTGACATAGAGTGTAAAACGTTCGTCTTCGATGACATTCTATGAGGAGTGTAAGGCTCCTGAGAGAACTGACTGTAAAAAGATCGAAAGACGGCGGGTTCTGCCCGGCTGACGAGTCTGTAAGGACGAAACACGTGTCTCGGGCTGTACAAGAGCCCTTACCAGACCACATGACAAGTTGGCTCAAATAATAATGAAAGGATCTATTGCCTGAAAATAGTGAAGAAAAGCGAAGAAGCGCGGAAAATTTCTTGCCAACCCAGTACTTTTCCCTATACACTTACCGAGCCCTTGCCTTATTCATCAACGGGGCGCACAACTTTTACGGCAAACTTCCGTGTGTTCTTGAATGTTCTGATTTCCGACTGTTTAGACGCACAATACTTAGATGTCTGAGTTGGACTGGAAAGAGTTTTGTGGAGGAAACCTATGGGTAAGTTTCCAGAAATTCTGTTCAGTTGCTTTGAGACAATTTGAGATAATTTCCTAGACATTTCCAGGCAGATTTGCTAGGGCATCTGAGTGATATTAAATAGTTATCTTATGGTAATCTGGACAACTTTTTTTTGCTTTTTTCCAGCAAAACGCTTTCCCGGACGGTGTTCCGAATGTCTCCGTGTGCTTTCAACATACGATACTCGTGTGGGTACCAGTACTATTCTTTTGGATCTTTCTACCGTTTCTAGTCATACAGACGAAAATTATCCGTACTAAGTACGGTGCCCTGCCATGGAGTGCACATTTAGTGTCAAAAATGGTGAGTCCTATTGCTTTAAGATTCATTTAATCTCGTTTTTTTTTTTATTATATACGACCCATTCTCACATTTTCTTGTGCGAATCGCAATTCCTGACATGTGATTCATTTCCTCGTTTTCATCGTCTCAAAGTTTACAAAATTTTGCATTATGTTTCGACTGCTGCAAAGATTTTCTCTTCTTGTGGATGTCGTGGATTACTGTCCAGACGGATCGTCTCACATTCTTGAGGATAGCCATGTTAGGACGTTCTCGGAAGATTGCGGAAGAGAGTGTTGGGGTGGGAGTTCGAACCAGCACATTGCTTTCGATAGCATGCACACCAACGGCTTGGCTACAGCCATCTATCGCGGTCAGATTATAGAAATTGTTAGATGAAGCTGTCAATGTTGATCAGCCCCTGAGGGATTAGCCAAGCATTTGATCTTCAGGTCTTGTTTGAGGTAGCGGAATGCATATCTAAGCTTTACGATGGCTCGGGATGGCCCACCTATATGTCAAGTCAGTGCTACTATCCGTCCAGAGAGATCTGGCACCAATTCACCGACCCCGAAAAATGGAGGGATTGGTGAGCCTTGGGGACGCGACTGAACTTTTGACCACGTGAGCATCGCAAAGTTTCTCTAGCACTGCGCGATATGTGCTCTGTAGAATCCATACAACTATTCAGATCAGAAATTCTGTTCTTCTACGATCTTCACTACGAGTAATTTAATTCATCGCTTTGATCTTACAGGTGATCTGCTGGGTTATAACAATCGTTTCATTTGTTACCGCGTTGTTTACGGTTTTTTCGCATGCATCCTATCCAACGTCAGATATCTTGTATCCAATACTGTGGACCGTTACATTCGTGAGTTGTTTCAGTTATCACCACTATACGGCAGTGATATCCATAGTAACTTCTTTTATATTTCAGCTAATATCACGAGGTTGATAAACAAACAAATTTCGTTTATCATTTCCCTTATTGCGCAGAGATTTTTGAAGGCATCGTTTTCAGTGGACGGAGACTTTACATCAGACTTTTAGGGATCATTTCAATGCCTGAATCTCGAAGAACTTGAAAAAATACTTTTTTTTTTGAGAGAAGGCTTTTTTACAGCGTTGTAGCATCCAAAATAAAATCATGTTTCACATGCGTCGCGCTTATATCTCGTACGACAGTGGTCTTCCTTCAGACCATCAGTAACTATTCGATAGCGTGAGTTTCGGCGATTCCAACTATCTAGTTGTTTTCTGAAAAGATCGTTTCAGCGCACTGTGCCAGCTGGGGAAGTAGATTAAGTTCCACATTTCCCGCGCATCCTTGTCAGTAGGGTTATTCTATGGTTGTGGCTATGGATTGATAATGTGCGATTGATAGACCATATAGGCGTGATTCACATGTGGAGTGCTATTTTTGTTAATGATTTTGGAATTTTTCTTCTCTTTGACAAGAAATCTGGAGAAAATGTATGGCTACGACGGCTGAAGATTTCTTTTAAACGTTGATATGCTTTTCGTGCTTGAGCTCAGGCTTAGGCTCAGCAAGAGTTCATTTGGCAGCATACAATGAAAATGAAAAGCCTAAGCACTAGAACGATAGAGCAAATGCTTCTTCTAGAAATTCATCACAAATACTCAAAAATTTCTACGGAACTGAGAAACATTTTCAAATAAGGAACAAAAATCTCCGTGATAA